CAGTGTCACTCCCAGACTCTACACCTTCTGGGCCGGCACCAAAGGTGCCCCTTCCAGTGTGGGGAGCCTGATACCCATATCCCCTCCCTTCCAACTTAGATACAGGCAGGGGTCATTTTCTGCAGGAGCGCACAGGAGCGGAGCTCCGGCAGTAAAGAGCCCAGGGGGCGGGCACATGCAACAAGTCCCACCCCCTGCTCCCAGCAGCCCTCAGTCAGAGCATGAAGCAGCCAGGTAAATTGCAGAGCCCCCCCAGCCCCCTGGTCCAAACCAGTTCAGTGGCACCTTTAAGACCAAGTTTTATTCAGGTACAAGCTCTCCCTCCTCTGCGAGATCTGCACGTTCTCCCCCCCCCCCAATAGCTAGCAATCCAAAAAAGTCCAGTGGAGCCTGAGTGGTGTTACCTTCTGACACATTTCCGGTGATGTCAGAGGGCGTGGCATATTCAAATAAGTTATGCTAATGAGTTATGCTAATAAGCCCCTGCACCTCTTTTTCTACTAAATGACGCCTAGATACAGGACCTCTGTCTTCGATGGATTTAGCTTCAGCTGACTCTGCTGCAGCCATCCAACCACAGCCTCCAAAGCCTCGGCCACGTTATCAGGGGCGGAGAACAGATGGCCTTCCAATAACAGATAGAGCTGGGTGTCACCTGCGTATTGATGGCAACCCAGCCCACACCTCCGGACCAACTGGGCAAGGGGGCGCATACAGATGTTAAATAGCATTGGCAAGAGGATTGCCCCCTGCGGCACTCCACATTCCAGTGGGTATCGCAGGGAGGTCCTCTTGCCCAGCACCACCCTCTGTCCCCGACCATGGAGAAAGGAGGAAAGCCATTGCAAGGCAGTCCCCTGAACTCCTATGTCGGCAAGGCGTCATAATCGACCATGTCGAATGCTGCTGTCAGATCAAGTAATAACAGCAGCGCCGACCCACCCCGATCCAGATGTCTATGGAGGTCACCCATAAGGGCGACCAGAGCTGTCTCCATCCCATGGCCAGGGTTGGAAGCCAGACGGGAAAGGATCGAGGATGGAAGCATCACCCCGGAAAGCCTGGAGTTGTTCGGCCACTGCTCTCTCAACCACCTTACCTAGGAACGGTAGATTCGAGACTGGGTGGCTCCCCTACTGTCTCAAGTGTGGTCGGGAGGTCATGGCAGAGTGTCATGATTTTGTCTGCAAAATAGCTTGCAAATGCCTCGCAGCCAATAGCCAATCCCCTACTGTTTGGTCTACCCTGTGGCAGAGTTGTAATAGACCAAATAATTCTAAATAACTGGGCTGGGTGTGAGCTCGCAGACACAACGGAGACTGTGTAGTAATCTTTCTTCGCAGTCTTCACCGCCAGTGTTCCCTCTAAGCTGAGTTAGTGTGAGCTTTTTGTCTTAGCTCAGGAAGGATGGCTCCAGAGCAAACTAAAGTATGCAGTAGCCAAATTGCTCGCTCACAACTTTCATGCCAGTAGCTCACAAAGTAGAATTTTTGCTCACAAGACTCCACACCTTAGAGGGAACATTGCTCACCGCCCTCTCATAGGCTTTCAGAAGCGTCCTATACAGGATGTTTGTGAGACTTCGTCTCGAGCACGCCGCCACCTTTGCTCTAGCCGTCTTAGCTCCCGCTTCATCCTCCACAGCTCTGTGGTATACAGCTCTGCCAGACCCAGGTTCTTGCTGTGGAAGCTGAGTGGGTAATTTCGGATCAGTCACAGACTTTCAGCCTAACCTACCTCACAGGGTTGTTGTGCAGATGGGCATTGGGTCCCACAGAGCTTCCTGAAGCTGACCAGGGTCCATTTGGCTCCACGGGTGAACACAGATGCGCTCACTGCCTAAACAGGGAGAGCATGGTATGCTCAGCCAGACCTTCACAAGGGAAGCTCCCCTCAGTCACCAGTGATAGACTGACCCTCCATGAATCTATTAGGGTTGTCAAACCTGTTTTTCCTTGCGGCGGGGGGCTCCCAGTCGGCATCGCGCACGCACCGCATGCACGTCAGCTGGATGTGACGTGATGACGCCGGACACGCTGGGGGCGGGGCCACAGCCATTTGAGGGGACAGGGTGGGGTTTCCCCCGGGGCCCGATTCCGCGGTGGCGGAGATCGGGCCTCCAAAGCAGGGGGAAATCCGCCCCCGGGGGGATTTGGCAGCCCTAGAATCTATATGGTCCCCTTTTAAAGCTGTTTATTCCTGCGACCATCACTACGTCCTCTGGCAGCGAATTCCACATTTTAATCACTTTCTGTGTAAAGTAGTACATCGTTTTGTCTGTCCTGAACCTAGCGCCCATCAGCTTCATTGAATGCCCTGAGTTCTAGTGTTTTGGGAGAGGGAGAAAAATTCCTCTTGGTCAACTCTCTCCACCCCGTGCATAACTCCACAGGGCTTTCAACACAAGAGAAGATCAGAGGTAGTTTGCTATTGCCTGCCTCTGTTTAGCAACCCTGCATTCCCGTGGAGGTATCCACATCCAGATGCTAACCAGAGCCGACCCTGATTAGCTTCCACGATTGGGCTAGTCTGGGCGATCCAGGTCAGGGTCAACTGTTTGCGGTGCAGCCCGTCAAAGTCGCCCCTTCCCCACTCACCCTTCTATCAGGGAAAAAAGGGGAAAGAGCAAAAAAGGGTGACCTGTCTGTGAGGAACCAACCCACAGCAATGCTCCACCCAGCTACCATTTATGTTTTAAAGCCCCCCCACCCAATGGTCTCCTGGTACCTTTCGTTTAGGGATGCCTTCTATAACCCCATGGCGGTATTCAACCCATACGCACGCAGCGGATCATGTGTGTGCTGGCCCAGCCTCATCCCGCCTGCTGTCTGCACATTGCACTTCATGCTCACACACAGACCTATAAGCATGCATGGCATGGGAATGACTGATCCCATGAGGCATCCTTAACAGGAACGTTGTCCCAAGGGTCATTTCCTGCTGGAGCGCTCCGGCAGTAAAAAGTCCAGGGCCCCCCCCCCACCCGCCCGCGGAGAGACTCGGGGGGGGGGGATTTAAATGCCTGGCTTCCCCCTGAGCCTCTCCGCTTTTGCAGAGAGACTCAGGAAGGGGGGGGGGTTAAACTCATTTGCATATGCCTTAACTCATTTTAAACATGCCTGCCCTTTGTCAGGGGGTGTGGCATATGCGAATGAGTCATGCAAATGAGCTCCGGCACCTCTTTTTCTAGGAAACGACGCCTGCATTGCCCACTCATGCCCACCCTTCAACCCAAAGGGCTGTAGTTTCAGGAAGCACCTCGTTTTCATGCTTGTTTTACCGCCCCCACCCCCCTGCACCCAGCAGCCCCCTTTGACTGCACAGAAAAGGCTGCCTGCATTGCCCACTAATGCCCACTCTTCGACCCGAAGGGCTGTAGTTTCAGGAAGCACCTTGTTTTTGTGCTTGTTTTACCGCCCCCACCCCCCTGCACCCAGCAGCCCCCTTTGACTGCACAGGTCAGGAGGCTGCAGTGAGGAGGAGGATCCAGTAAGACCACGCCCGACTCCTATTTGCATTAGAAGCGATCTGGTAGGGTTCAGCTCTGTCTGTACGTCTTTAATCGATCAGAGGGACCTGTGAGCAGAACATACCCCCCCACACAGAGAGGAGGCTGCTGGCTGTGCCTCTGTACGATTCACTGCTCTGGCCATGCCGCCATCTACCCAGATTGTGCTGGAGGCTGAACAGTTTTTTTAACATAAGAAAGGCCCTGCTGGATCAGGTCCCAGAGGTCCACCCAGTGCAGCATCCTGTTTCCCACAGTGGCACATTAGAAGAACGGGAAGGGCCACAAAGGAGGCACAGAGGCCCGAACCTCCCCTGGTCCTTCCCCACCGGCAACTGGCATTCAGAGGTATACAGCCACTGAAGATGGAGGTTCCATCGAGCCATCCTAGCTAGCAGACGCTGGTGGGACCATCCTCCATGATTTGGAATTCTGCTGCATCACTGCTTCAAGGGGTGATCCAAGCTGATGCACAGAGGCAGCAAAATTACCCATCCTTGGAGGACTCCAACCCCTGTTTCTCTGCATGAGTCAGTGCTTTGAACTCAGATTTTGCCCACTGCCTACAGCAGTGACTCAAGCAGAGACCAAGGGAGGTGAGTGCCTCGGAGTGCCAACTGCCACTGGCAACTGAATTGGTTTGTCCACACAGGAGATATGGCCGCAAATTATTGCTATAATGCAATGACAGAGCAACATCAGGGCTCTAGTCGGGGGGGAGCTCTCAGGTACGGAGCTCCGGAAGAGAACCTCTAGGGGGCGGGGCGGTCACATGGTGAAGCCCCGCCCCCTTCTTTACCCCGCCCTCTGCTTCGATCCTCATTCCGTTTGGGAATGAGGATGAAGCAGGAGGGTAAGTAGCCGGGCCTTCTGACACACTTCCGGTGATGTCAGGGGGTGTGGCCTTCTGTCACTTCCGGTGATGTCAGGGGGCGTGGCATATGCAAATAAGTTATGCCAATGAGTTATGCTAATGAGCTCCGGCAGCTCTTTTTCTACAACAAGACCCCTGAGCAACATCCTACAATGTGTGGATGCAGACCTGGGCAGGAATATTCAAACTTGCTCTTTGCATTTCTTTTTATCATTCTGTTTCGCCCTTTTTCACCACTGCTGTTCCCAGTTCATTTGTTTTGTTTTTACACCATTCATGTAATACCCAGTTATCTTGTCAAGAACACTAAAAAGTGTGTACCTTTAACAGGAAAAATAATCAAGACGCAGAAATGGAAAACAGGCCAAAGAAAATTCACAGGTTTGATCTGTCCACAAGAAAAGTGGAAACAGAACGGGGATTTCTGAGTTGAAATTGTTTCTGGGCATGCAGTTTTAACTATTCTAGCTGCAAAATTCAGCAAGGTCCCTCCAATTTTCAGTCAGAAGAAAGCACTCCCCAGATATAAGAAGTATGGGAAATGCTGCTGTTAATGTTCTGAACAGGTACTGTCCAAATCATTGTGCTGGCCAGGTATCCATCGAACAATCGACTCACCGAAGTTGCTTGGCATAGTTGAGTTCTATTTCTGTTCTCTCTTTCACAAACTTGATGTATTTCTCCAGAATGTCAATGCCCCACTGCGTATGTTTTTCAAGGCTGTCAAACTGATCCTACAGAGCAAGAAAACGAGAGTCAGGAGAGAACAGAAAGGAGAAGGGGAATCATCCATGCTTTTCATCATTAGAGAGGAATGCTTTTTAATAGCATGCCTTCTCATCCAGCTAACAGATATGAAAGCCAAACCAAGACTTGGTAACAAACACCGGCAGACGCTTCTCTTCTACAATGCGGCTGGAGAGAAGAGAAAGGGATAGTTCCCAAATGCGCATCAAACGGGAAACGTAGCTGGGAAGTTTGCAGGGATTAAGCACTGTGAGGTGGGGGAGGAAGAGAGTTAAAGCCCATACATGCATGTTGATATTCTGGGTGCCCCTGGTAAGAACTCTGCATCAAAGCACTCCAGATCGACTGGCAACACTGTCAATTCCAAAACCACAGCGACGCTACTGACACAGAATTGGAGTTCCTAAACTGCTTTAAGAATCTACCCTCCCCAAACACCCCTGCAAGGAGACCTTCTCTTTTGCAGGGAGCCCATTTATTTGCATCCCCCAAAGATCACCAAAATGAAAAGAGGGGAAAAACGACAACCCTAGACACAGCAGTCAATTTTAAGTCCCAATACCATGACATCGGCTGGTCTCCGGCACAGGAAGACTTCTTTCCCCGCGTTATCACCTAGATTCTCAGCCGCTGCAGAGAATCACTCCGTCCTGCAAGGTGCAAACATTTCTATATCTAGCGGCGAGATCACTCATAGCCTCTCCAGTTCCGCAATGCAAGCAGCTTCTTATAAGGCTCTCAGGGCAAGGGCGGGAGCAGCGGATCAGGTGGAGAAGTTCAGCACACGGTTGGGCACCTCCCCGTAGCCTCGGTGAGGGGGGGGATGGAAACTGCAAATACAAGGCAGGTACCAACTTTGGAAACACCGGCGCTGGAAAGGCCAAGGGTGCGTGAGACCCTTGTGTTCAAGGGGGAGCTCCAAACCCCGCAGGTGAGCTGCTTTCCTCGACTTCTTAGGTCCCAGGTAGACACAGTACATGGTTTTATGTACATACTTCCAAAAAATCTTGCAGGACTGTCAACTGAACTGGAGCAGCTGCTCTAAAGAAAACAGAAGAAGATTCTGACCACAGACAGCATCCAGCGGAGCCCTCCCTGAGGCTGACTAGATGTTACAAACCACACTGAGTTCACCACGGGGACTTGCAGCGATACTGTAGCTGCTATTCCGTGGTGGCAACTTGTGAGTTTATGTGCAGCAGGACACTAATTTGGACCAGAACTGTTGTGCAGAAGAAAGAGAAATTTGTGCCTTCTATCCAGTGCTGTTTTTGGCAGCTGAAACAGCCCAAGAGCTGTGGGCAGAGCATTTTGCTCCACTGGGAGCCAGCACACGCACCAATTGCTTACATGTGCTGGCTCTTACCCACAAAGAAAACACTGCTCCTACCCACAGGTCAATCAGTGTGTGGGGCTGTACTACTTCCATCTCCCGGGGGGGGGCTCAAACGATTGCTCTTCTGCTTTTAAAAAAATTCCTTGCGCTGGTGTAGCCTCTGTAATAGATGTCCATTTCATGGGGGAATTTCAGACAGGCGCTATGTCCCGGTAGGGAACCGATTCTCAACCGGGTTGTGGTCTGTCATTTCAGACAGAACCCGGTTAGGAATCGGTTCCCCACCGGGATCCAAGTGGCATTTCAGACACAGAAGCCTCGGTTTGAAACCGGGAGAAAACTGGTAATGTGAAATTCCCCATGGTTTGTTACAGTTCCAGGGTACCATAATACGGTGCAGTACCCGCCCAGGTTTTACTTATGGCTCGACGAAACTGGCTAGGCAAGCAGCTATGAAGGACTTTGCTAGGCCTGGTGATCTTTTCTTTATTTCAAATAAAGTCAGTGGCAGAGCATCTGCCTGGCATGCCCTGGCCCCACTGCTGGACCTCCTGATGGCCCCTGGCATTTTTGGCCACTGTGTGACCCAGAGTGTTGGACTGGATGGGCCGCTGGCCTGACCCAACACTGGCTTCTCTTACGTTCTTATGCAGAAGGTCCAAGGTTCAATCCCCGGCTCCCCCAGTTAAAGGGATGAGGTAGGAGAAGATTTGAAAGTCCTCTGCCTGAGACCCTGGAGAGCTGCTGCCAGTCTGAGTAGACAATGCCGACCTTGATGGACTGATGGTCTGATTCGGTATCAGGCAGCTTCGTGTGTCATGTGTCACTCAAGGAGTCTCCCAAATAGCCTTGACTTAGACAGCCCAGCCAAGCCCGATCTCATCAGATGTCAGAAGCTAAGCCGGGACAACTCTGGCAAGTATTTGGATGGGAGACCTGGCATGTTAGTTCTCTATATGTGCACAGAACTGTTTTGTATGGAGGAGCAATCCGTCAGGCGGGTCTCCGCCTACAGTTTGAAATGGTACACCCCAACATAAACTAATCAGGTGAGAGACAGTAGGCCTTAGTCCATTAACTGCTCTGCACCCTTCTTTCAGCCTGTTTCCCTTCGGGCTCCCCCTTCCTCTTAGATTCTAAATCTTCTGGGGCCTCTTTCTCCAGTCCAGCTTGTTTTACAAAGCTCTGCTTGAGGGCTGTGTGAAGTTATAATCCCATCCACGCTTTCAGCTTTCCCTTCACTTACAAAAAGTGGACTGCAAACGTTCCAGTGGCATTGTTCCTTAAGAAGCTGACACAGGGACCTAGTGACCATTCCATGCTATCATACCAGTTCAGCCAATCAGCATCAAGAGGCTTCACCAGCACACGCCCAATGTGACATAGATGCACTGGATGAAAACAATAAATTACAGGGATGGGGGGAGCACAGGGGATGATCAGGGCAACATCCCCAAATATGAGCAAGAAGCATGATGTAGGGTGGTGATTCGTAAAATTACTTCCTGTGGACTAGGAGGTTTATTGAGAGAGAGAGAGAGAGAGAGAGAGAGAGAGAGAGAGAGAGAGAGAGAGAGAGAGAGCACTGCCATGACATCACACACAGAAACTTTCAACCTAAACAAGTGATCCCAGCTGTGTTTATAAAGCACGTCTTCTTTCACATCCTCATTTATACACACAGATTATGTTTGCATTTGAAATCTGACTGTTTTCAATCAAACCTTCTGCATCTATTTATTAGCCTGGCCTTTCCAGACATCAGACATGAAGCCGTTTTAGGGAAATTACTGTTGTTTATACACTTTGCCAATATCACTATGAAGATCATTTGGGAACTAGAACAAATTTAGAGTCCGGTGGTACCTTTAAGACTAACAAAGCTTTATTCAAGGTATGTGCATGCACACAACAGTTCATCCCTTGAATAAACCTTGGTTGGACTTAAAGGTGCCACTGGACTCTAAATTTTCCTGCTGCTTCACACCAACATGGCTGACCATCCGGAACTATTTGGGAACTAAACACCCAAACAGGGGTATGAAAAGTAGCAGCATACTTCCACATAACTTAGATGTGTAATACCAAGATTCAGTGCATACAAAATCCATGAAACCTTGAAGAATAGAAACATCTGCAAAGGGGACGTGGACCACTGAAGGGAAACTCAATGTGGTTATGGAACGTCTGTCAAGCTCAGGCCTAACTTTCATTTCCTTAAATTCTGCTTTCCTTTCCCTTCGGTTGTCATGTTGAATTCCGGGGGAGGGGGTGTTGTTGGAGTGCATGGGGATAGTAGCCATAATCATTCCTCAAGTTGTGCCCCAAGAGTTGGTTCTCATGTGATTGACCTTGGAGACTCTCTGTGCCTAGGCTAGGTTAGACAGGGCACCATATATCTGTCTGTGTTGCCATAGAAACGCTAGGGGTTAGGTGTGACATACGAGAGTGTGGGATTTTATGCTTTTACCTATAACCTGTAAGTTCCTGCCATTTTCTTCAGTCCTAACAAAAGTTCTTGTACCTACAGCAAGCATATCTCTCCTTATATATAAGAGTTTTGGTGTCCCTCCTGCACATGCTCCCACAGCCTTTTGCTCTCGCACCTGCCACTCTGAAGAAGAAGAAGAGAAGAAGAGATCTCCTGGCTGCATTGGTTGGCTCCCTTGCCTCTGTCCCGCCCACAGAGGCAGCGAGGCGGCCGCCTCTGGCTCACTGTGCTCTGAGCCAGCCGAGGGGACGGGTGCTCCGGAGGGTGAGCGGGACCACTGGGAGAGGCGGAGAAGAGGGAGCCCACACACGTTCAGAGATGTCACGGTCGAGGTGGGGGCAGGGCGGCGACTGCTACTGCGGCAAGAGACCGCCCCTCTGCAGGCAGCCCTGTCGTCGTCGTCCGGGTCAGCCGAGTCGCTTCTGATGCCACTCCGTGCTGCGCCCTGCTGCCACCACCAGCGCCACCACTGAACACACCAAGAGGCCTCCCTGATGCTGCCCTGCCGCCGCGCCAAGACCCTCCTCCTGTCCTACCCTGGCAGCAGGAGCTGGGTCACAGGCACCAGTGGAGCGGTTGTGCTCTACCCACCACTGCGGCCACCTTCTTCTCCCGAGGGGCTGGCTGGCAGGTGGTGGCTCAGCTAGGGCTCTTTGCATTTGTCTCTGCAATGGGCCTTCTTCCTAGTCTTCCATAAAGCATTTCACTGCCAATAGTGTGTGTAGAGAGCGTGTTTCAGCTGGGGACCTGACAACGTCCACATTACCTAGAAACTGTTCTCAAGCTGTGCATTGGGACACTCCATCAAGTGGGTTACCAGGCCAGATAGGAGGGTGAAGAGGGTGAGCTGGGAGTGGGGCCTCAGTGGTAGAGCATCTGCTTGGTATGCAGAAGGTCCCAGGTTCGATTTCTGGCATCTCCACTTAAAAAGGACCAGGCAGTAGGTGATGTGAAAGACCTCCACCTGAGACCCTGGAGAGCCATTGCCAGTCTGCCCTTGGTGAACCAAGGGTCTGATTCAGTGTAAGGCAGCTTCATGTGTGTACTCTGGGACCCACTTGTCTTTTACTTCTTCACCCAGAGTCATTAACATGAGCAATTCGCTGCCACAGGAAGTGGTGGCGGCGACAAGCTTAGACAGCTTCAAGAAAGGATGGGAT